CTGACGGAGCCGTCGTGGTCGGTGTCGAAGGCGTTGAAGAGGAAGGCGGCGTAGGTGCTGGAGTCTGGGGGAGACGCGGCGTCGGGCACGGGCATCGGCCTCTTCCTGGCTGCCTGCCCTGGGGAGCCCTGCCCGCCCCACCCGGCCCAGCCCTGCCCTGCGATTATGCAAATGACCCCAAATCTGAACGTGCCTGGCCCCGTGATAGCCACCCCTATCTCCTGCCCCTATGAATATGCAAATGTAAGGTGCCAATGACCCCAACTCTAAAGCTGCCCAGCCCCACGTGACACCCGCCCCATCTCCTGCCCCCTGCCCTGCTCTCATTAGTATGCAAATACATTATGCAAATGTACACCAAATCTAAAGCTGCCTGGCCCCATGTGACACCCTGCCCTGCCCATATTAATATGCAAATGTATTATGCAAATGAACCCAAATCTGAAGTTGCCTGACACCCCACCCTGTGTCCTGCCCCCTGCCCCAATTAATATGCAAATTCATTATGCATGACCCCCAAATCTGAAGCTGCCTGGCCCCACGACACCCGCCTTGCCCTTATTAATATGCAAATGAAATATGCAAATGAAGATCCAAATCTGAAGCTGCCCCGCCCCAGGCGACCCCTCCAGCCCTGGCCCCCCGAACGAGCGTGGGTCTCACCCCCCTGCGGGAAGAACTGGGAGTAGATCTGCTTGAAGCTCTCCTCGGTGACAAGTCCGCTGGGGCACTCCTGGGGAAAAGCACAGCCGTGATCACCCCCGCCCCATGCCTCAGTTTCTCCAGCTGGGCAGCGGGCGCAAGGCACTGCATGCGGGGAACAGAGACGGGGGTCCCAGGGGGAGTCATGGGGAAGGGGGTGCCGGGCCGGACTCACGTTCTTGAAGCCGCGGTACAGGACCTGCAGCTCCTTGCGCGAGAAGCGGGTCTGCTCCTGCAGCTGCTCCAGCCCCTCGGGCCGGTGGCACACGGTGGCCAGCTCCAGCTCATCCTCCACGCTGTCTGCGGGGGCAGGGGGGGCTCAGGCAGGCACTGCCCCCAGCCAGACCCCCCAACCCCACGGCCCCCCTCTGG